AGCACCAAGCCAGGCGGGAGCAGGGTGCTGGGGGCATGGAGTAGGGACACCTGTTCATGGTGCTTTGCAAAGCCCACAGGCAGCTGCCCAGCAAGGGAGGCGGATCGTGCTCCTTTAAGAACAGGAACCAGGGAAATATGCTGGGAATGCTGCCAGTGATGGAGGTGAGAGAGGAGGGAAGCCTGGGCTTCGGGCTCACCCGGGGCTTGCCTGTCAGAGGGCCCCCCCCTGGCTAGCAGCTGCCCTCCCGAGGCCGGATGTCAGAGGGCCACCCCCTGGCTAGCAGCTGCCCTCCCGAGGCCTGCGCTGCCGCCACACCTGTCGCAAAGAATCCTGTTCAGCCGGGCTGGGGGCTGTTGAAGAAAAGCAGGTGAAAGCTGCCAGGGCATGGGCCAGGCGGGCTTCCCCTTTGAAGGATGCCTGCATGATCACCCCTTCCCCAGGGGATCCAGCTCAGCTAGCTGGTGACCCCCAGAGACGCAGCATGCCTGGCCCCGATGGCCTGTTGGGGCCCCACGTAGCAGGGCACTCCCTTGGACCCCAACCTCAGCCACTGCGGGAAGTGGTTACCCCAACCGCCCTCACCATGGGTTGGGGGGAACCCTCAGGCTAAGACTCAAGTGCCCCGTGAGAGCCCCTGGGGGACCCGGGACCCATATTCCACTGGGCACCCTGAGATCTTAGTACAGGGGCGCTGAGCGTGCCTGTCCTGATCCGAACAACTGCAGCTCTTCCCCCTTGGAAGAAATGCAGCCCTCATAAGAGCTGACCCCTGGCTCCCAGGCAGCCAAGGCTGTGCAAGGGGACAGGGTCCTTGCACCCAGGGGGCTTGCACAGAACTCCCCTCTCCCAGCAGGGATGGGGAATAAGAGGCTTTTAACAGGAACAGAGCAGCCAGCACCGGGCAGGCGCAGGGGCCTCCTCAGAGCTGTGCAGCAATGACTCATTTGCAGCTGGCAAGGCTGCCCAGGCCTGCCTCCACTCCCACCCACGCAGACCTCCGCCGCCCTGCAAGCTGCTTCCCAGCATGCATTGCTGCTGCTCAGCCAAGCAGGCGTCGGGGAGGAGAGGAGGCAGCCGTGCCCGGCCCCATGCGGACAGAGCGGCTCCCCTGGCCAAGATGCTCTGCATTCTTCTGCTTTCGGCCTAGAGCTTTCCCCCTCCCCGAGTGCCCAAACTCATTCGCTCGGCAGCTGCTGCTGTTCACCACGACCCCAGGAGGGAGTCAGCGGGGGCCCCAGGGATGGTCACAGCTTTGGGCTCCCTGTGTCCAAGCCCAGCCCTTCTACCCTCTTTCCCCACTGCATTGCCCTGTTTCCCTGCAGAAGAATGCCTTGCTTTTGCAGCAGCCCCTGAAGGCACCATCACCCCCACCACGGGCCCTGCCCAACACAGTGAGCAGCTGGATGCTAAAGGTGAGACTGGAGGAAACAGGTTAGAAACAGAGGCTTTATTTAAAAGAGTCAGAGGCCACAGGACATGGACAGCGCAGACCCAACACTGCCACCCCACAGGCTGGCCACGTGGGATTGTCAGCCATAGAGCAGGGGCACTCCACACCCCATACAGAGCCCCCCAAGAAGATGCCAAGCTGGTGGCATGTCAAGCCTGGACCTTGGGGGTCTTCACGGTGGTCTCCAATCTGGCTGCTTCTGGGATGCAGAGACAGGCTCCCGCTGGCCTAGCAGAGACAGGCAGGGCAGTGGGAAGGTCAGAGGGAAGGAAAGTGCAACAGGCAGTCACTGGGTGGGCCTGGAATCGGCCCCAGGGCTTTGGAGGGCTGGCTCACAAGGAGGGGAAGCCAAGGGGGACTGGGCTGGCAGTGGAGCATGGGTTGCACTGGGACCCCTGCAGCTGGTTCTGAGCACATGGGAGAACGAAGGGGTGAGAAGGGAGGTCCCAGCAAGAGGCCCATCAGTCCCACCACATCCATCCCAGAGGCAGTGCAAAGCCCACCAGTCACAGCTGGGAGGGACCTGTCCAGAACCTCAAGGACCAGCTCCAGGCCGGTGGTTCAAACCCAGCCAGGGGTTGATGGCTCCCTGTGCCTAGCACTGGATCTCAGCCCAGTTCCTAGAGGATCCCACCCCCTGCACAATTTGGCAGCCTCAGCAGAGGGACTGAGGGTTTCCTGGGCCTTGAGCTAAGCCCCCTCTTGGGGAAGCTCATGAAAAGGGGCTCACATTGTTGTTTCCCAGGGCTTTCCGCCAGCTCTCACTGCATCACACAGGGTGTGGGCCACAACCCAGCTCCAGTTATGCTGCACCCCAAGGAGAGAGACGGGGGGGTGCAGGGATCAAGACAGAGAAGCCATCCAGCCACTGCCCTCAATGCAAAGCTACCAGTGGGGCAACTGCTCCCAACCCCCCTTGTACAGAAAGACAGCAGGTCCACCCAAAGGAGAAGCAACCCCATGGGTTATTCAGCACCAGGTCCACCAGCAGGGCTTGCCGGGAACAAAAGAGATTGTACTGTGTGTCAGCTGCAAGTGAACTGGCAAGAAGTGAGGTCTTCACCATCCTTCTTTGGGGAATCATATCACCTCCTGCCAATCAAACCCCCTCTCTGCTCTTCTAGTTACTCAAATTTAGGCTTGGCCCTTCCCTCCTCCCTCCCTCGTATGTTGAGCAGCAGCAGGAGGCCAAGGCAGACTGTGGCCGGGGCGCACATGGCAATAGACTCCTTCAGCGCCAGGAGGGTGTAGATGGAACCTGGGGAGACAAAAACCAGAAAACATGTAGGGGAAAAAATAGAAGAAAAGAAATCAGGATTTGGACCATTAAAGAACTGAGTTGCTCCGTCATGGGGCCAGGCACAGGCAGAACTAAAGCCTGAAGCATACAGCTCCAAAGAACTTCAGTGCAAAATTGTGCTGGGGATTCAAGGTGTCATCATTATGCTTCAGAGTCAGCAGCCACGTGCAGTGTGTGGGGGCAGTTTGCTCATCTCTGAGCTATTCAGAATAGCAGTGAATAGTGGTGTTACTAGCCCAGCAGGCTGCGAGGAAGGGGACTGTGCAGCACAAGCCATGGGCAGCACTTCCTGGCAGCTAACGACAGCAAACACCTGCAGACAGTAAACCCAGGGCCCTTCACCTCCAGGTAGCTCCGCCTGCCGCCTCCTTGCCTCAGGGGCTGATCTAACAGGATGGGAAAAAGCAGATTACACCGTCTCCCTCTGGCCAGTCCCACAGCAGGCAGCCCCCGTGCAGCAGCACAACATGGCACGTGGCTCTGAGCTGTCTGCCAGTCTCCCCCTGGACAAAGCGCCAGCAGGGCATCTCTCCCCAGGGCTAAGCTAGGCAGGGACCATAGTCTTGACACCCCTAGTTCTCTTACTGACCCCCAAGCCAGGCCCCAGTGGGTAAGGGGAGGGTACAATTGGAATCAGATGTGCACATGCTCAGTCCAGGGGCTTGCAGGTTTCATTAAGATCAGCTCTGAAATTAATACGGTCTCTCAAGGTACATCTACTGCCCCCTGATTCCAGCAGCCTCCAATTTCCGACCCATAATCAAAGGGCCATCATTTAAGGCTCGTTGCAAACAGTCAACTACATCTGCTGGGAAGATCCTGCTGCAGGCAAGGACTGAGAATCCAGGCTCTGGTTCTGAGCCATTGCTTCCCTTTTCCATAGGGACACAAGGGCTTGCTAGACAGACACCTGCTTTTAACCCTTACTTTGTGGACACAGACCTTCTCCAGGCCCTGCTGCTGGGAGGCCATGGGGCTGTTTCTGGGCCCGTGCTCCTCCCACCCAGCAGCAGATGAAATTCTCCTGGCTGCTCCCCAGTGTAAGGGGAGCCCCTATATTACCTGGCTTCAGCTTGGCAAGCAGTCACCAGCAGCACACAGCTCCAGTGTCTGCACCAGCTCCCAGTAGCTTTCACATGCAATTCAAGATGCTGGTTTTGACCTATAAGGCCCTAAACAGTCTGGGCCCTACAAACCTAAGGGACCCCCTTTTCCTTTATGCCCCATCGTAATCCCTCAAGTCAGCTGAGAGCACCATCCTGCAGGTACGATCAGCGGGACAAGTCCACCTGGTGACACCGAGCAGAGATGCTACTCAGGTCCCTGCTTTTATTTTGTTATTTTAGTTAGTCTAGTTGCCCTTTTTCAGTTGTCTTGTTCTCTGACAGCAGCGTGTGAGCGGAGAAGCAGATAAGGGCAGGCTCCAGGCTGTCCCTGCCTAGCCAGTCCCCCACCCCCATTGCCCAGCCTCTCTGCAACAAGGTAAACACTGTACTAGATAAGATAGCTTTCAAAATTGGTTGCCATTCAATGCATAGCACGTAAGGAAGGGTGCCTTTAGTCCAGTGAGGGGTGCCTCGAGGCCTAAAAGGTTGAGAGCCACTGGTTTACTGTAAGCCCCGGGATCCCTTGTTGGCAAGGGCAGCAGATAAATCATATAAATAAATCATATAAATCCATACATACATAAATAAGAATGTAAGACTCCTCCCTGCCTCCAGGATGTGTGTGGAGGCTATTGGGGAGGAAGGGAAACTCCCAGCTGAAAATCAAGCAAAGGAAACAGGTGGAAGCCCTGGTTTGGGCTATGCTGCAAACTTGTCCAGCAAAGCCATGGGAAGAGTCTGGCAAGGGGTCCCTGAAGGCAGCAGCAGAGGGGAAGCCTGCCTGGCCCTCATTCCCCAGCTCAGGATGTCAGGGGCATCCTAGAGGGTACAGGAGTCTTCAATAGCAACCCGGTCAGTGCCTCAGCCTGTGCCCAGCTCACCCTTACCAATCATGATGATGGTGAGCACAAAGTTGCTGATCTCTTGCAGGAGCTGGGGCCCAAATGCCAGCAACAACCCGGCCACCACTTCAATCCAGCCGACCACCTCCAGGTACCAGTCCGGCTCCGGTTTGTAGCCAAATTCCTTCAGGGGAAAGACGTCGGCGAACTGCACGAACTGTGACTTCTGAAGGGGGAAAACGGCATGGCACCAGCATTGGAGGGGGCTCCAGGCCTTCCTAAGTTTCTTTCCTGGAAACAGGGGTGCTAATCCCAAGATCTAACACCGTGGCCTTTGGGTGAGGGAGGAGATGGGCAGCCTCGCCCACTGCCTGAAGCCCCCACGAGGGCTGCAAGAGGAGCAGAGCCCCCCTGCCCTCCCCTTGCTTTGCCTCCCCCAGGAGGAGTATTTTGAGCTGCAGAAGATAGTCACGCAGCACAGGCCGGGACTGCCCATGTCCAGGCAGATGGCATCAGCTCACAGCTCCCTCCCCACCCAGCCGTTCCCACATGCTCCTGCTGCAGGGCCCAGTCTCTGAGCAAGCAGCAAGCAGGACCCAAGACCTTTCCCAGCAGATCTGCAGGGCCCTCCAGACACAGCTGGAGCACACCGAGTCCTTTGCAAGCAGACTGCCATCTCGAAAAGGCAGCTGGCGGCTCAGGAGCCTGTTTTCCAAGAGAGCAAGGCACCCACAGCAGGGAGCGGAGCAGCAGGCACTCAGGCCTCTTAGGATCAGTCCACACCTAGAAGGGCTCTGAAGCATCACCAACCTGCTCTGCAGAGCAAAGCCATTTCCCCAGCCAACACTCCCTCCCAAAGCCTCCCCAGGAGCCACTCGGATGTCACGCTGCTTTCCTGAGCCAACACTTCAGCTTCTTGTGCCAATGTTTACAGACAAGTCTTCCAATGGGCACGGGGTGTCCTGGCCTCCAGACTGGTGTCCAAAAGGCCGCTCAGAGGCCTTAGGACAGCTAGTTCCCACCAGCATGTTCAAAGCTGCTGGATATCCAAGCCCCACTGGAGCTGGAAATCCCCAGGGAAGACAAGCCTGCAACCCAGGGCCCTCTGCCTTCCTGCCTGGAGACCGTCTAAGGAGTTCCCCGGACAGATCAGGGATCCTCACAGTCATGAGACTACAGGGGAGCTCTGGTGCTGATGGGGCTTAGGGCCAGCTCTGCAAAAGGACTCACTACACGCCCCTGGCACTGGATTTTCCCAAAGGCTCAGCTCCCATGCAGGCTCCAAAACATGCTCAGAAGAGCCTTAAAGGGATGCCGCCAGCTGGAAAGCTAGCCCACGTTTTTTAAATAGGGAGCTTGGCTGCCATGACAACAAGGGCTCTACATAAATGCATCAATCGTGGGCATCAGGTATTAATTAGACATATCACTGTTTGGGCCTATCGGGCACCATGAAGGCTAGGGCCCTGGCACGCTAGGTGCTGTACCAACATGCTGTGTGTGGCAAACGTCTCAGCTCTGAAAAGCCCCATGTCCATGTAGACAAGGGGTCTAAGAAAGGAGTGCTCAACCTCCAGCTTGCAGGCCAAATCCAGCTCATGGAGCCGTGGCAGCTGGCTCACAACCAACCCCCAAACCCTGTGTGACAGGTCCAAGCCGGACCATGCCCCCCGCCCCCACACACACACTGCTGGATTGGGGCTGGGCCATGCCCCCTGCCCTCCTCCATGCAGTTAACTAGGGGGCCCCCTGTGCCTGGCTTAGGATCACCAGCAAGTTCAGCCCATAGACAGACTGGGCACTGCCCACCCAGCCTGCTGGGCAAAAAGGTGGAGTGCCAGCAGCCTGAGATCATGCAACCAGGCAGGGGCAGAGGCAAAAGCAAAGCCCCTTTCCCTGCCCCCTCCCAGCTGGGATGCACTCACTCTGGTGCCAGGCCCTGCGCATGCCCCATCCAGCTGGGCTTTTGTGAATCATGTTGTTTCCCCCTAAGACACTTCTTCTTCTCCCCTCGCAGAAACCTGCACTGGGGAGCTGGATTCCTGGGGTGCAGAAACCGACTGCTGGGTCTAGCCTACCCCAAACCCGGGACGCAGAAGCAGCATTTCACATAGCCTGCCCTAAGCCCCGGGTGCAGGAGAGGCATCTCACATCTCAGCCTGCCCCAAACCCTGGATAAAGGAGGAGAGGCATCTCGCATCTCAGCCTGCCCCAAACCCTGGATAAAGGAGGAGAGGCATCTCACATCTCAGCCTGCCCCAAACCCTGGATAAAGGAGGAGAGGCATCTCGCATCTCAGCCTGCCCCAAACCCTGGATAAAGGAGGAGAGGCATCTTGCATCTCAGCCTGCCCCAAACCCAGTTGCAGGAGCAGAGGCGCCTCGAGCGGACGTGACGCTGGACTCGGAGCGGATAGGGGTCCTAAGGAGACCCGTGGATCTCGGGGCCCGCCGGTGCAGGCAGGCTGCTGGCCCCAGGCCTGGGCACAGCCCAGCAGGTGCCACCCCCCAAACTGCAAAGGGGCAGCCAGGTCCCACCCCAGGGCTTTGGCCCCCTCCTGCTCGCGGGCTGGCACGCTGCCGGGCCTGGCCGGGCGCTGCGGCCAGCCCCAGCCGGCCCCGCGCTCACCATTTGCAGATACAGCTCGGGCGAGATCTGCTCTATCAGCTTCACAGCCCCCGTGAAGAGGAAGAAGAGCCCCAGCACCACGCGCACGGCAGTGAAGAGCAGCGCCATGGCCGGGAGA